CTGGCTAAAATAGGAAGGGGGTTGACACACGCTTGCTTTCTATTATTAACAATCCTGCGTTCGTTAGCAGATATATTTCCCCCAACTTACCAATATTCTCTTAAAGAGAGCGTTCTCCTTCGGCGGCAGAGTTACCGAGGGCATGCTTCTTCTTCTTCTTGAGTACTGATCACCGTGACTTTGCTCTGATCATGAATCGGAATCCTCGATCCTCTGGCCGGATTATCTGCCGTATCGTAAAAGCCCCCCGAACTTCGCTGTCTGGGGCTTCTCGTCTTCACGTGGTGACAGCAGGCCCCCCTTCAGAACCAAAATGGCGACGCTGCTTCTCCCCGGGTCAAGCGGTGAACTGCGCATGCGCTGAGCGTGCGGCATTTCCGAGGCGGGGATAAAACAATAGACATAATAAATACCTAGACGCCTCATTGGCCGCTTTGAGCCGTTGCTGCGATACGTCAACGCGTCCGCCATATTTGTGAGGGCAAGACTCCCTTAAAAATAAATGGAGGTAAACGGGGGAGCTGCGGTTTTTTTCTGGATAAAAACCATAAAAACACGATAACGTTTACATTTATCAACCGATTTCAGAGGTTTGTGATCTACATGGAGTTAAAAATAACTCTGCCTGGTGCCCAGGGTGTCGAAGGGCCGTAATTTACCATCATTGAGAAAATTGAATAAAACCAGCGAATACAAATCAAAAATTATCCATAGACATAATAAATATAAAAAAAGTATTTATTATGTCTATGGATAAAACAGTGGAAACTACTACTTCTTCTTCTTCTTTGGAATTTTTTGGCGTATTCCGCACCATAGGCACATACCGCCACCAACTGTTTCTAATCATACATGGATGATAGTCCCGCCTCTATTCATATTTTATTTATTTATTTTTTAATTGTTAATTTTATTTCGGGCTCACCCAAGCTGTATTTCTGGCTGCTGCGTGTTCAGCTCCCATGCCAAAAAACCCAGCTTGTGTGTTCCCCTATTCAATCAGCTCATCTTTCCTACATCTTCCAAAATTGTATACTTCAGTGGAAACTGTTTTTTTTTAAATATGCTATAAATTAAATATATAATTATACGAAAAATATACATAACGTTAAAGGAAATGATAGTGCTGCCCTGGCGATTTTCTTATAATTACAATAAAGGTACGACCAAGCATATCGAATGATGCATGAAATGCCGTATGCATTGCCGCCACTAGATGGCAATATTATCGTGGTAGTATGCTGTTATTGTGTTTGACGCATCAGCAAATATACATTTGTAAAGGCTTGTGGGAGGCGTGCTTTTGAAAGACAGCATGTTTATGGGAGATAAACACAATTGTACTAATAAACATATATTTATTATGATGAAACAGCTACTATTCTAAAAAAAAACTTTTTGTGAAAAAAGGGTGTATACACTGGACTAAACCTTTGAGTATTTGAGGATAATAATGTTTAATGATAAAGTAAAAGAGGTTGTGGTTTTACATGGCATGTATTCAGCTAAAAGTGATAGAGAGATATCATTTAGATATTGATTATTCCTGTATTTTTGTTCTACAGAAAAAAAAAGAGTAAAAATTAATTGTGTACACAAGGATTCTTTGAGTGGATATGAAAGATTAGAAGGATTTTTAGATTTTATAGATTCAAGATGGATTATTTTTATGTATCATTCCAATAAAAACAAATGTGACACTTTTATTTTTCTCATACACCTTTTTGTTGTTTTGGGAATTAAATTTAATTTATTTATTACAAGAGACCAAAGCACCTGTTTGGAGAACATTGTCAATAAAAAAAAGAAAAGAAAACTTTCAAAATTTTTCATGGAGTTTTTTTTATTTTTTATTAATGAATGAATGGTTGTTATGTACACTCGAGTTTGTTTCAAAATGTAGTTTTGATATGACCACAGAATGTGAGAGAAATAAAGGTGGATGAGTCTATTAAATGTGTTATAGAGTCATATTGAACAACATTCGTTCGTGATCGATTACTCTACTTGCCACTACTATTGACTAGGTCAGCCATTACAAGAGCCAGGAAAAGTAATCGAGCAAGGATCGCATTTTGTCTGGGAGAGAAACGCTGTCAAAATGCCTCTTGGTCGGTTATTTTTGAGGACTTCAACTGTCAATAAGAGTGAGTACGAAAATGCAAATTATGCTGGGCGTACATTATAGTCTAAGTACATTTCCTCTGTTCATTTGTTTTATTCGCCTTATGGAAGTTAGCAAAGCAGTGTGGCCTGACCTTGCTTAGCTTAGCAAGACTAGCAACACAGCAGCTGAGCCAATACATTAATTTCATCGCATGATGAATTATTTATATAAGTAGGATTAATCAGGAGAATTTAGGTTGTTTTTTTTAAGTATATATATATATATATGTGTGTATATTAGTTGCTTATTAGTGCTTCACACTCCAGTCCAGTTGGTGGCGGTAAATGCACCAGAAGTTGGTTTGCCAGCCGCCATAAAACGTTATTTGAAGAAGAAGAATTATTTATATAAGCAATAAATTGCACAGTTTTTATAATTAGCCATATAATTAGCAAATTATTTTATAATGTCCATATATTATGTTTTAATTGCTATTTTCAGTTGTTTGTGAATTACAACAAAGGACAATGCAAATGTATATATTTTTTGATATCTTGTTGTTACATTAATGCGCATTACAGCTAACAAAATTAAAATATTGTGCATAATAACGTTTTAAATATTTTGAAAACTGCCACCAGTGTGTTTTATATTAGTGCTGCTGGTTAATAAATCAATTCATATACAAACTAGCAAGTTACAAGTTAGGTACCAAAACTGTCCAATAAACCAGACATTGTGTTAAATATAAAAAGTTTTGAGGATTGCTTTTCTCTCTCCTTTTAGTGGTTAGCAGAAATTCCTTTATAGCTTCTAAACCGGATCCCTCCAAGCCAAACATGCTGAGAGTAGGACTAGCATTTGGGAGCACAGCTGTCTTGTGGGCATTGGTAACTCATTTTGATTGATCTCTCAAACATACGCACAAACATACTTTTTTGATTTTTCTAAACACACTCTCTGTTCCCCACCAGCTGTTTAAACAGCACAGCACTGATGTGCATGAGTACAAAACAAGGAATGGGTTAGAGTAATTCATGAGGCCATGTAAGTAAAACCATTAATTCTCTCTAAAAACTCTTTATTCAGTGTTAATGTAATTTGTACATTTTGATGCCATGCTAATGATGTAATAGTATCTCTTTTTTCCCTTTGTAGGGCAGCAATTGCTCTGTGCTTTGTGGATCTTCTTTTGTGGATCTGTTTTTCCTGTTTCAATGTTCACCTGCTTGTACAATAATGTTTATTAAAGATGTGTATATATAACCTGCCTGTAGTCACTCTCTCTTGACTCCAGCAAACATGAGTTGCAGAGATATAAATATGTTAAATATATGGTTTAACTTTTCCCCTTCAATTAAGTCTAATGATGTGGTTTATAAGCAAAACAATTACAGTATCATTCTTGTACTTTGTGTATGCTAATTAAGTAAATACCTATGGTTAATTCTTTCTACGGGATCAGACTTTTGAAAGCAACATTCAGTGACAACAAACAAGTGCTGTTCCAAGATTCAGTTTTTAATATTAAATAAGAGTCAGGTTAATGTGGTTAGGAAAAGCAAGTTGAAGATTTGAGTAAAAAATATTGCCTTTGTACAGTGGAGAACACACATGGACACAAAACAACAAGTATGTTGATGTTGGATTTTGGTGCCCCCCAAAGGGAGAAATCCCCCACGATTTTTGCATGCTTTGCATGGTGGGTAAACACACTACTGCTAATTAATTGGCCACAGAGCTCTGGAGATTGTCTGTCTTATTCATCACTGCAGCTTTTCAATACACAGCAAAGCATACTATTAAACAGAATAGTAAAATAAACATTCGAATGACGCTAACAGTAATTAGACATGTTACACAAAAAACATGCAAAATTCTGGTAACGTTAGTGTTCAGTTATGAAACCTAGAAAACAACTATTAGAAAATGTTCTATTTAGGTTCTTATTAGTTGTCACACCGCTGTGAATGTTAGTGGAACGTAAGAATTGGGATAAAAATAAACAGAACCATACAATAACATTAGGGAAATGTTCTGTTATTGCTGGTGCCACGATAAAGCGTGGCTAAAAAGACTATTTGAGAAAATACCGTATTGGCCCGAATATAAGACGACCCCTATTATAAGACGACCCCCCCTTTTTCCAGATGTACCTTTTGGAAAAAGGCTTTTTAAAAACCAGATCTTGTTTTTTCTCAGTAAAACACATTTTGTCTTCAGTTATTTTCATATTGCATATTTTTCCTATTTTAATTTTTGTTTTGAAAGTATGGTAAAAACTGGTCAAATGTACCAACAATCACATTTAAAAAATATACACTTTTTGATATACCATAAAAAAAAATAAAAAAAACTGGTAGCCCATCTGAATTAGGACATTTAGGCTATCCATCTAATTAGTAGCCTACCAAAATCTTATTAACAGTAGAAGTTAAATCTTACTGTAGTCTTCAAATCTGGGTTCTGTCTTACGTTTTAAAATCACAAAGGGAGTTTGGTCCCGTCAGGCTAACGTGACAGTCACGACTCGTGCAGCTGTAAGGTTTTCTTTTTCTTTTGTTTTTACTCGCGATCTTTACAACACGCATTATGTATTTCATGGCACACTCGTTTTATGCGTATTTGGTGCCACCTAGTGTTGTGGGTGTATTATTGACATGTCAAAGTCTAGACCCTGAATATAAGACGACCGCGTTTTTTCAGGTGTATTTCCAAGAAAAAAAACATCGTCTTATATTCGGGTCAATACGGTATAGATAGTTTTGCAATGTAAGTAGCATAAATTAAACAAACAATGTGGTTGGTAGCGTGCCACGGAATCCCAGCAGTGGGAGGATTCAGACAAGCGCTTTCTCCTCCCCTCATGTTCACTCCTCCCATCCAACTGTCTCCGCACTTTCAGTCATTCATTGCGCCTCCATTGGACTCGTCTCGCACGCTGCTTTCCTCCTGTGGCAGTTTGGACGATGTTTGCGTGCAGAGCAGCCTGGCAGAGGTGTGGGCCTCTGGCGCGACAGTCCCTGTACCACGCTCGGCTCAACAGAGATGGTGAGCACCAGTGTCTCTGTCTCGTAAAGTTTCATTTTTCCTGTAAATCATGTAATTTGCAGTGCGTTTTGGGCTTTAATTGTGATATTTCACGCCTTTCGACTATTGCTTACAATGAAAATGTGCTTGAGCGAGCTGTATCATAATATTTTACAAAAACTAAAAAAAATTTGGGCAGATGGCATGTGGTTTAGGGTTAAGAGGACATGAAGGTCAGTCTCAACATCGGATCCTATTGGTGCTCCACATTTTTAAATGGCTTTCGAGATACGTTTTTAGTGCCAGACAGAAGTTACACGCCTACTATACTAATACATGTTGGCATTGTCATTTGCAGGGAACACAATGTACACATCTCAAACAGCAGCCTGGCACCAAGCACACAAAAATGTAGCCATCTTGGGCACTGCAGATCTGCACTAATAATCATTTTGCAGAGATGTATTATTGAAAAAAAAAAAAACATTGACCATTCGTGTGCATTTTAAACATTGCGAAAAGTTTGTTGTAGGCTCTTGAACTTGATTAGATTAATGATTGTTCTGTCAAATTCATTCCGGTCGTCACTAAATGGATTATGAAACACGAAATTGCGTAATAGGGAGTAAGTTGAAATTTGACATTTGGCATCATGGTGTAAGTATTCTGCTTGATTTGTGACCTTCAGTGTTCTCAGGGTGCCATAGTATGTTTCCATGTACAGCTCACGTGGTTGGTTACGTGGTCGCGCGGACCTATGGCTGCTGTATGGCAAGCCGTTTACATTTAATCCTTAAATCTTACTCTATTTTCATGCTACTAGTACATATTTTTTTAGATACTTGTATCCATTCCGTTAGGTACTAATATTATTTTTTTTAGGTACTTGTACCTTTAAAAGATATCAGTATTGTTTCATTAGGTATATGCTACTAATAATTATTACACTGACTGGTTTTTTAAAAGTTGTACATAAAGCTAAAAGATTTTTAGAGTATGATTTGCAAGACTATGTAAAATTCTACCTAATTATTATGTTTACTTCAATGTTACTTGCTGTTTTTTTGTAATTATTTGTTAAATTTTCTAGCAATTCAGAGTGAAAGGTTTCACAGTAAATGCTATTATAATTTTTTTCCAGTGTGGATACTAGTTTTAAACATACTATCGCTTATGTATTAGATACTTGTACTTGTTTCAATAATGACTAGTAAGTATTCCATTGTTACTAGTATCACATTTTTGCCATTGACTTCTCTGGGGATCTGTCATTCAGATATCAACTATTCAGTTCTGACTAGTACGTATTTATTAGATACAAGTATTTATACATTAAGGGTGAATTTTTGTGTGTTAGCTCTTGCTTTTTCAAACTCAGTTCAGTGTTTTGTTCACTTATGGCTTTGTGCATATAGTTCTGAGTTTTTCTACTTTAGTCTTGTAAACATTTGTTTTTCTTATTATATTTCATTTAGCACTGGCATTTCAATCTTACAAACCCCCACAATTCCTTTATGTACCCTGGGGGGGGGGGTTAGTAGACCCCTGTTGGGAAACCCTGGTTGTTTAAATAAACACGCAGACATTCTTGAAGCGAGACATTTGTCTGCCCTTAGGGCTGTACTTGATTGTATTGGTTAAATGTATGTGAAAATCTAGGTTAGGATGTTTGTAATGCAGTTAATAAGAATATTACATGAAAATGTTGAAATAAGCATAGATATAATCACACCGTCTGTCCTGTCCACTAAATATCTCCTCAAATAGCCATGAGCGGATGGGACGGTAGGCCTACACTTGTCAGATACCACTTGCTTAAAGCCTTTCATTGTAATTTTTGTTCGCTCAGCCGTTCCAGTATCAAGCTGTAATAAATCTCTTTGCGGAAGGAGATTTGCTGGTTAGTTGGGTTAAAAAGTTTATGGGTTTCAACAGGCATGAGGTTGAGTAAATTATGTTGCAAATAGTGAACTTTTAATGTAGTTGTTAAAGTAAAAAAAATATATTATTGGACACTTAAACTTGTGGAATAAAATAAATATGACTGACTGCAAACAAAAAGGCATTTTTGGTAACTAAAAACATTGTTTTATTCATTAATTCATTGTTTTATGCTACATCCACACCATTAGGTGTCAGTATAAGACCAAGACTACTGCCATATTGTGAATTTTATTTTTTTTGTAAATATTGTGTGAAATATGAGTTTACTTTCATCATTTATCTCTTATTTGCAGTTGTTAAATGGTATTATGCAAATATAGGAATTATATTGGCTATTGCCAAACTAAATTAAGTGTTGCGTTCCTGTGGCTCAGTGGTAGAGCAGCGCAGAAGGCCGTGGGTTCGATTCTCAGGGAACACACATACTGGTAAAAAATGTATAGCCTGGATGCACTGTAAGTCGCTTTGGATAAAAGCGTCTGCTAAATGCATAAATTATTATTATTATTAATTATAAATTAGATTTTGTCATCAGCATCTGACATTGAAAAAGTTTCATTGGTTCCTAGTAGTCTAACCGAGCATGTATCACTTTCTGTTTGGTTCACCCTTTGACTCCTGGGAAAGATTAACAGATTAGCTGGTATAAATAACACAGAGGTGTCTAGAACCTATTTACTCTAGCTGGGCATGAGTGACTGGATTATCTTAATGAGAGTATTGAAGATACTCCTTAAAAAGTCTACAAAGTTTGTGTCAGAATGAGCTTTGCCCTCCAGTCCTGAATGATTGGACTGCACTGATGGTTTTCTAAATTTAAGTTGCTCCCTGCCCTCTAACTTTTTTTTTTAGGACAAGGAACTGTCAGCACTAAGGAGAGGTTTTTGATAGTCATTGAAGCATAGAATATAAAATGAAATATTATATATTTATGTAAGAAAACAGACAAAATAATGCATAATTCTTTTTATGTATTGAGAAATAATTTACTGATATGTATACCGTTAAATAAACACACAACTGCTGCAGTAAAACTTGTATATAGAGGGTTACAAACCTGAATTATCTATTTTATTTGGAGTCCACTTAGTACTTCACATCCATAGTGTAAAATGCTGTTCACTTAAGATTACCTTCACCATATTTTTGAGTTATGGAAATAACACAATACATATCTAGATGAATGCTGACAGGAATATTTACAGGTACCTAAAACCATTGCCCAGAATCCAATCAGGCAGTGACCTACTGGGCAGAGAGCAGCTCTGGTTTGACTGCCATGAAGGTCAATCTGTGTCGGACACTTTGACTAAAACATTATTATAAAACATATTTTAAAGTTCTATTAAACTATTAACTTTATTCAATCTTGAAACTGAGAGAGGGAGAAAGGATATCTTACATTGTTGCCTCAATTAATAATGTGCACACATCCAAAATCTTGGTCTTACTCCTCTGTTTTCTATGCAGTAGTTCCACGGAGGCTCATGTCGTCAGCTCCTGGCGGCTCCGGTGAGAATTTCCTTTATGTCGTCCTCTGCGGTGGAGCCTTCGCCGGTGCCGTGGCATATGTAAGTCTGATTAAAACTCAAACCATTGATGATCTAGTTTGATGTCAGATCATTTGTTGAATGAATTAATGTCTTTATTGAATTGCCTGATAGGCTTACAGAACAGTTGCAACAGACCACGCGCGTTTTGTTGATCGTGTTTCTGAAATTGATGCTCGTCCCAAGTCTGACTGGAAACCCAAACCATGGCCACCCAAGAGTAAGTCTCACCTATGGTCTGGTTAAACATCAGATTTTATTGCTGTAATTTTGTCAGTGTCACTTTTGGGATTCAGGTTTTCCTATGGCCTGTTAAAACTAGGATGCAAGAGCAGAAACCATTTACCTGGCTACAGGGAGTTGAATACTAGCATAGCTGTCTCAAGATGAAAGATACGGGCATAAGGTCATATACAGATAATCTTGTTGGACATATGTAATGAAAACAATGCTATTCACACAGTGCTGGTAGTAACCCTGTGAATTTCATTCTCAGTGGCATCAGGAATGCTGATCTAAATTGTCAGCTTATGTCTGTATCCAAAATTATGAGATCTAATAAATAATACATTGCAGCCCTTCGAGTTGGGGTATGTGGAAGACATTTGGCACCCTCTCACATTTATCTTGTGGTCGGAACAATAATGTTAGACAGCTGAAATTTGCCCTCTTCACCGTCACAGTCCTGCCAAATCCTTTCCACCACATTAAATAACTGTATCAAATCCAAGCGTGCCCAACACTCCAGCATCTGAGCCAAACATTATTAAACTGCCTTATCTAAATGACAGCAGCATTCAAGTATAATAAATAAGGAGATATTATGTGTTGTAATGCGGTCTGATATGAGTGAGTGACTGTTGACAAAGTTTTATACAGCCGCTTCAGGGTTCGTTGACATTTCAGATTACAATGTGCCATCATTAAATTTTTTTTGTTTTGTTTGTTTGTTTGTTTTAGGTGGGGAGAATGGCAATGGTGAGTTCATGTGTGATCTTTTTATGTCATAATTTCTCCATGATGTACCATAAATAACTTTATTATGATATTTAAATGTAAAAATTACAGTTCTGTCTTTTAAATGTTTGTGTAACACATCTGTTTGCCTCAAAACAAATGGGATCCATTTAGTGAAGTTTACTAAAACTAACTTGTGCTTTAACTTGCATGGTCTGAACTGCTGCATAACAAGTATTTTTGAGAGTTATTACTGGAACTGTATTATAGCCTTGATTTCTGAAAGTCAAAGGTTAACTAAATGATGACGCCCCCTACTTTTCAGTCTCCTCCCATTTAGTCGATCCTGATACCTTATTGGCTGCAAAACACCGGACAAAGATTATATTCTTGGCACATAGGTTATGACCTGTTCTGATTAATATTTGCTATATGCCAAGTAGGATCAACTTAAGTTTTGCAAATATCCTGTAATGACACTACAGTGGGCAGATATTGCTAGAATAATGGCTGAACTGCAATGCCAAAGAGCCTAGATCTTCCACAGACTGAAGCCGAAAAGTGAGCTAAACAAGACTGATTTTGATGAAACAATGCATTTTTATGGCATTTTTTGTCTTGGTGTTATTTGCGCTACAGCATTCCTGTAGAGTGTGGTACTTACAATGCCAAGTTCATGGGTTCAATTCCTGGGGAAAGTATGATCTGATAAAATGGATACCTTGAATGCAATCACTTTGGATTAAGGCATCTGCCAAATGCATAAATGTATGATTGGATTAAAGAGTTGTTCTCATGTCACCCTTCTAACTCACCTAATCCCCTGATCCTATTTGTTGGAAAGCCTGTTAATCAGAACTGGGTGGCTTTCTCTTTGACACTGTGTCACTTTCCTCTTGAATAAACTGTGTATATGATCCATCTGCACCCCTGTGCACTCACATTTTCTCTCACAACACTTTTTCCCATCTTACTTACCTGTGCTCCTATTTTAATGACTACAATTTTTTAACTGATGGGACCAGATTGTTTATACCCGCTGTAGAATTGGTCGTGACGCACAAGTTTTTAATACTAGAGGAAGATCCTCCAACATGTTCTCTCTGCCAAATCCATTAAGCATGTTTTATTAGATTGTGCTGGTTTTAACTCATTGAGATTTTTTTTTTTTATTCAGTTAACTCTTTTGAAGAGATTTTTAACAGAGTTAAGCCAAATACAGTGTTTGGAGTTTTTAGCAAAAATAAATGATAAAAACATGTTATAATTCAGCCATAATATTTCTCGCCATGAAAATAGCCATAGAAGCTGGAATGACGTTAAACACAAACAAACAAACATTATACTGTGGTCTTTCAAATACCAAAGCAGAATATTAAACAACGAACTCAAAGCTTCACCTAATCTTTTTCCTAACTTTCCTAATTGTCTCTTTGTTCTGACTCTTTCCAGAGTAAACTAATTCGGACAGTCTGGGCTGGTCACCTATAGTCTTCAGTCAGAACTTTTTGGATGATTCTCTTCTGAGCTAAAGTCGTTATGAGTCCTGCTTTTTCCATTGAACTGATATTTTTCATTCCATTGATTTTTAAACCCTTATTTAAAATGTTAATTGTGGTGTAATACAGTAGAAATTGAAAGACTGCTTCCCTGTGAGTTAACTAATTAAATACGCACACAACAAATCCCCTTTGGTTTTTATTCTGTGTTGCTGGAATTCACAGAGTTGCTGGTACTGCTAACTTTGAACAGATGGTAAGGCTCAACCATCTTTGTATTCCCTCTCCTCACCTGTCCTCCCAGCCCCTTTCTTCCTGTTGTTTCTGTTCAGTTTCTCTTTTTACTCTCCCTCCTCATTCTTGGGTTTTGCATGCTGCCTGCAGTGATTGGGTTGTGTGTGATTTTGACAAAGCTAGATTTATATTCCCCGTTTAGCCATTTATTGGGGGTTCCAGGAGATTTGATAAGATGGATGTGTGTGAGGCATTTTGAAAGGCATGGTGGCAAATGTAAACATTTTACTGTGTATATGGATGTTCTTAACCGCACTGATGTTCTTAGGTAACTAGCATAAATTAAATTCAGTTAAATGAATACTACCATAATATATTATACTTCAACTAAATAATTAAATTATCATTACTATTTATATAATAAAAATAATTATTTGAGTAATAATTACTTTTCTTACATTTACTAAAATCATTATAAAGTATTAAATAGTTGATTATATTATTATATATTATTTGCAGTTAGTACAGTTCTCAAAAGATTGTTAATTTATGAATATTAGGAAAGTAAAGTTATAGATATTGGTGATTATATTAACACCTTACAAAAACTGTCAATAAATGTCTAGGTATCATTACACTCCTGTCATTTCTATGTGAGATTCAAAAGTGAGCATGAGTGTGCTAAAAATGAAAACGTAGCTTGATGCCTAATTGTTCTTTCTTCTCTGTTGTCTGTTTAGAAGAAGCTAGTGCAGAGGAAGGAGAGGTGGCAGAAACTGTAGAAAGCACAGCCGAGGAGGATGTTCCTGCTGAGGCACCTGAGGTCTTGCTGGAAACAGCCGAGGCCACCAGAGGGAAGGTGGGAACTCTTGAGACCGTTGTGGAAAAGGTTACCGAGACTGTTGCAGAGACTGCAGAGGTGGTTGCTGAGGTGGCGGGGGTTGTTCATGAAACCGCAGAGGAGGTGGCAGCGGTGGCAGAAGAAGTGCAGAAGGTAGCAGAGGAAGTAGAAGCAGCAGCAGAGGCTGTCGTAACTCCTGTTATCCAAGCTGAAGAGCCGGCGTCACAGAGCAACAGTATGCCACCAGCCCCCCAAGAGGAGGCAGTAGCAGAGGCTACTAGTACAGAGTCCTAAATGGCTCATGGGTACTCAAACACTCACCCACACACACACACAAGATACGGAAGACTCAAATGTCCTATACAGCAAAATGGTCACTGTCTCACTTTATCCAAACATGTTACCCTTACATCCAAAAAAGAACAAAACATGGTACTTGAACAAAATTAAGAGAGATTTTATTGCTCAGATACTGCAGGTCTTACTCATTTTTCCTCTCTTGGAAGTAGATTCTTTAGTCATAAACTGAAGTTTTAAGGTGCTCAGAGACACATTAACTAAATGACAGTGTATGTGATTAACTGTATAGTCTTCATCATACTTTACCTCCTCTTTTTGCATCGATGTGTTATACAACAGGATTTGATGCTTGATTTGCAATAATGTCATCCCACTATATAGCACACAGCTTATTGTGTATATTTTTATTATATTCCTGGATTTTGCTGAAAATTATATAGATTATAACTTGAACAAAATTATAATTTTTTTTCAAGTATTGATAACGGTAGAAACCACTGTGAGAATCCAAAGTTGCTGCTTTTTGTTACATGTGACCAAACATTCCAATGGACACACTTCAGACCATCTACTCCTGTTCTCCTTCTTACTCTTAGCTTCACTCTCAATCTTCTCACAAATCTGAGCCAGCCTTCTGTCATTCTGTCAGCCTTCTATCCTGCCTTATCTGCTATTTGAGGCACAAAAAACAAATGTACTGCTGTATGTAGTTATTTGTTGTTTTGTAATAACAGTAACAGTTCAGTCGAAAACATGCTTCTCTGCCAGATATCACTTAGTTGGTACACGCCAGTTAAAATTGTGAAAACTGTGAATGTTTTGCTCCCTAGCAACTAGGCCAGATGTGTTTCTGTATTAGTTTTCCCTTTATATTCCTCTGTATGACTGAACTGACAAGGAACTCAGTAACCTACCAAGAAGGTCATGTGTTGTGTGATTAATGAAACTGCTCATTTATTTGGAAATTGCAATCGTGTAATAAAAGTGGATAAGGGATTCAAAGCCAATTAATAAAATGAAATTGATAAATATCAAAAATATTCTGTTTAATTTTTTTCTGAAAACATTCTGCTTTTACAAACTGAAATATAACATCTTTAACACAAGTTCATCCTCTGTTTTAAAAGTAATGTTTTAAAATGCTGCATTTAGTGTAAAGGTCCTTGGTGTTGTACATTATAACCTATAATATCATCTCTACATAAAGAGTTGTTTTATTTCTTAACTTTTGCTGTAGTTATACTTGTGGTGTGCCCCTTTCTAAGTGATATTTGGCAGTAAAGCCTCTTAATGTATGTTCTGAATGATGGGAAACCCCTAAATGGAGCTGCATGCTGTGATCATGCATAATGATACTCGCTGAAAGTCTTTACATTCTGTGAAATGCAAAGATAGACACCATAGATCATACCGGAATGCACTAAACTTTACTTAAGCTCTTTTCTTTGGTGTTAAAACTAACACTAATGTAGTGGGGATGAACCTCTGTACTCTACTTTTAGTAGTCTCATTTCTATTTTTCCTATTTTGTCTGTGTCTAGATTAATCGTTTGTTTTAAACTCCAGACACACACACCGAGAAATGACAATTTATAATCAATTTGACCTTAAAATTGACAGTTATAAAACCTTTAAATAAGTCATTTTAATTCCTCAAACATCTAATGTCTGTTTTTTTGTGTGTGTGATTATTGGGTGGCTTGATTATGTCTTGTAGGGTCGGTTAGCACAGCAGCAGCAGAAACAGTAAAGCTGGCTGCTGCCTCCGTGATCGAGGCTGTTCCTGTGGAGTCTGTATCCGTGGAAGATGTGTCAGTTGAAGCTCTGTGACCAAACATTCCAATGGACACACTTCAGACCATCTACTCCTGTTCTCCTTCTTACTCTTAGCTTCACTCTCAATCTTCTCACAAATCTGAGCCAGCCTTCTGTCATTCTGTCAGCCTTCTATCCTGCCTTATCTGCTATTTGAGGCACAAAAAACAAATGTACTGCTGTATGTAGTTATTTGTTGTTTTGTAATAACAGTAACAGTTCAGTCGAAAACATGCTTCTCTGCCAGATATCACTTAGTTGGTACACGCCAGTTAAAATTGTGAAAACTGTGAATGTTTTGCTCCCTAGCAACTAGGCCAGATGTGTTTCTGTATTAGTTTTCCCTTTATATTCCTCTGTATGACTGAACTGACAAGGAACTCAGTAACCTACCAAGAAGGTCATGTGTTGTGTGATTAATGAAACTGCTCATTTATTTGGAAATTGCAATCGTGTAATAAAAGTGGATAAGGGATTCAAAGCCAATTAATAAAATGAAATTGATAAATATCAAAAATATTCTGTTTAATTTTTTTCTGAAAACATTCTGCTTTTACAAACTGAAATATAACATCTTTAACACAAGTTCATCCTCTGTTTTAAAAGTAATGTTTTAAAATGCTGCATTTAGTGTAAAGGTCCTTGGTGTTGTACATTATAACCTATAATATCATCTCTACATAAAGAGTTGTTTTATTTCTTAACTTTTGCTGTAGTTATACTTGTGGTGTGCCCCTTTCTAAGTGATATTTGGCAGTAAAGCCTCTTAATGTATGTTCTGAATGATGGGAAACCCCTAAATGGAGCTGCATGCTGTGATCATGCATAATGATACTCGCTGAAAGTCTTTACATTCTGTGAAATGCAAAGATAGACACCATAGATCATACCGGAATGCACTAAACTTTACTTAAGCTCTTTTCTTTGGTGTTAAAACTAACACTAATGTAGTGGGGATGAACCTCTGTACTCTACTTTTAGTAGTCTCATTTCTATTTTTCCTATTTTGTCTGTGTCTAGATTAATCTTTTGTTTTAAACTCCAGACACACACACCGAGAAATGACAATTTATAATCAATTTGACCTTAAAATTGACAGTTATAAAACCTTTAAATAAGTCATTTTAATTCCTCAAACATCTAATGTCTGTTTTTTTGTGTGTGTGATTATTGGGTGGCTTGATTATGTCTTGTAGGGTCGGTTAGCACAGCAGCAGCAGAAACAGTAAAGCTGGCTGCTGCCTCCGTGATCGAGGCTGTTCCTGTGGAGTCTGTATCCGTGGAAGATGTGTCAGTTGAAGCTCTACCAGAGATGCCCACTGAGGTTCCTACAACAGATCATTTGGAAAATGTACCAGTAACAGAGGTGGCACCTATTGCTCCAGTGATGGAGGAGGAACCAGCTTCTCTAGTAGCAGAGGCACCAGATGCCACTGTAATAGAAGAGCCTCCTGTAGCAGAGCAATTGTCCAGTCCTCCAGTGACAGAAGTAATATCAGTTTCCCCTGTTGTAGATGAGCCTGTTGCCACAGTGGTAGAAGAGTCTCCAGTAGCAGAGGAGACACCAGTTGATTCAGCAGCAGCAGAAGTATTTGTTGCTCCAGTGATTGAAGCAGCACCAGTTTCCCCAGTTGTAGAAGAACTAGCTGTTGCAGCAGTGGTAGAAGTGGCTCCAGTTGTAAAGGAGACACCAGTTGATTCTCCAGTATCCTCAGAAGAAGCATCTGATATCCCTGTGATAGAAGAGGAAGTTTTAGTTGCCCCAGTGACAGAAGAGACACCTATTGCCCCAGAAGCAGAGGAGGTATCAGTTGCCCCAGTGATAGAAGAGATGCCTGTTGCCCCTGTGCCAGAAGAGGCAGCCGTTTCCTTTGTAACTGAAGGCGCACCTGTTGTAGCGACTGAAGAATTTGAGGAAACACTTGCAGCCAAAGTAGCAGAAGAGGATATTTCAGTGGTTGAGGAAGTGAAGGCAGAAGAGGTGATTGCAGAAAGTGCAGTTGTGGAGGCTCCAGTAAGTATAGTCGAGGAACAAGCAGCAAGTCCAGTTGTGGAACCAGATGTTGCAAGCATAGTGGTCACTGAGGAAGTTGCTCCAGCTGAAACGTCAAGTGCACCTTCGGAAGAGCCCAAACGACACTACATACTGGTTGTCTTGGAGGGAGCTCCCAAAACAGAAAAGAAGCCAATGGTGCTCGGTGTGTCACCCGTGACTGGCAAGATCATCCCAGCCCCTGATGATGGTGAAGAGCCATCGGGACAGGTAACAGGTAATCTGGTTTAACAATGCACTGCTGGTTAACTAGTTAAGAAAATAATGATGGGAGCAAAAAATGTGGATTAACAGAATCATTGCTTGACAAATACTTGAAATTAGATTAATAGTGAATTAGCTAGAAGATGGTAAGATATATTAAGACAAAGGCGTGTGTATTCTGATGTAAATTCTTGACATACTTTGACATTCTTTTTATTATACAAATGTTACTTTTTAATGTTGTTCCTAGGGCAAGCACCGTATGCTTAAAGTGCAGATGTATTAACACCAACTAAAAAAGGTAACATCATATTATGAAAATCATGTTTTCTATGTTCGTTTGTGTTTTAATAATATAATACATAATATATTTTCTAATAATAGTAATTTAAATTTTATATTTGTATCAAATGTAATGTTTGGAAATGTAAACATCTCTATTATAGTCTATTATATAATACTTCGATTTAAAAAAATATATATATTAAATTAGAAACTTTATTGAGCACAAGAGACTTCTTTAAAAACATTAACCAATCTTACCGATCCAAACCTTTAAAAGGTAGTGTATATTGACATGATATTTTCATTCTTGTTTTGCATTTTCTCAGTTGGGAGCAGTCCGATGTCCTGGGATAGTAAACCGGTTCCCTGATAAACAATTAGTGATGTGCCTTCCCCATTTCCTTGAGCCCCTGGATTTCAGTAATCCTTACACTGGGCCCAGAATGCAGTTTCCTTCCGACTCAGCTCAAAATAATACTCTATTTCCACTGACATGCTCTCCACTGGAGAGTGGTTACTTCATGTGAACATTCACTTCACTCTGATGTGAGACAAAAGTTTCTTGAAAATAATAATAATATGCATGAAAAGCTGTGACCTATATTTATAGCCTTTTTAAATGGAACTCCACTCTTTTTGACTCAACTGCACATTGGAGCCTATACTATAGTGAACCCTACCTCAAACATCACATTATAGGACATGTCTTGGAATTGGCATGTCAATAGTTGCAACCAGCAGGGCTACACGTTTGCCACAAACACTGTCATACCTGCATGCTGGCCATCAGTTTTCTGGTTCTCCTCTGTCTTCAATCTATTTTTCATTTGCATTATTTATGAATTAGCACTATTATTATTTTTTGTACCGCTCTACCTCAGCTTGAAAAGACAGTGTTCTCCTTTTTCTAGTAACCAGTATTATAGTAACCAGCTGGCATTACCAATGGGACATGACTAGGTCAAAAAACAACTGACAAACCGATTACCTTTACCAATATAGTCAATACAACAATAAGCCATGTTACAAGTCACATTCCAGTATTCATTTCTAAAGCGAGTCTCTACAATGTTATCCAAAAGGCAGACCCCACTGCTGCACTCCTTTGCCTTTGTTTTGCTGTTCTCTCTTCTCTTGTGATTATAAAACTTGTTTCGCAAATACATAAATAAATTCCTTTGCTTTATGTGGCAAAAACAAGGTCCCCAAATCTGTTACGCTAACGTTACACTATTACTGATACTACAGTTTTGATGCTCATATGATTTGAGATTTTAGACTGGTAGACAGGCATATGTGGATCCACAAAGGAAATTAAGGTCAGATAAATAAAAATAATAATAATAAAATGTAAAAAAAAAAAAAAAGACCTAACAATTTTGTCTCTTATTTCCTTCATATTTCAAAAGGGACGTTATAAGTAAGATTGCAACTACATAATGTGAATGTGAGGGAATAATGGGAAGCATGGTTCAGTAGAAATGGTGTTTTCACGAGTTCTTTTCTGTTTTTGTTTTAAGGGTTAGGGATGTTCATGTGCTCTTATGAGGCTTCTCTTTCACTGTAGGCCCTAACTAGGTTTTTTTTAACTGTGAATGTATGTCAAAGAAAAATAAAGAGTTAAAACACATTTTTGTGTGATTGTTTCATTATCAGGCGCTTCAGTGCAGATTTCTCTGTTATTAAACTGCAATATTAGATTTGGGAATGACCTTATTTTGGTGATTTCAGGAGAAGCATTTTCAGGACATTATTAGTAATAGAAATTTGTCTGAGGTTACGACTGTACAGATTGCGATTTCAATTATATTATTGTATATTTGAAATATAGCGAGGTGATGTACTACATTGTCTATATTATATTATATCTGCCTGCTACCTCGCCCGGAAACATTTGCTAATTTAAATATATTATTATGATATTATTTATTGTGATAGTATTAAAAATAGTTTATTTATGTCATGATCTCTATCCCATTATTTTTTGTTTATTGTGTTTTTAAATTGAGCTTGTTGAAATTTGAGCGCGCGCGCACCTGACAAGGGTGTATGTTACGTCAGTTACGGTTGCTGCGCAGTTCGTCAGTCAGATCCTGCAACGGGAGGCCCGAGACCAGCTACGGAAAACATTAGCTACTACACCAACGCAGCCTGTCAAAACTCATATCTTTTTATATTTTACATTGACCAAATAGACATCTGTCTATCGCATGCATGCGTGCTCTTTATCAGCGAGCAGTTCGCGCAAGTTGACCCGCTTTAACATCAGTCTCATTAGCATGGTTAGCATGCTAACCTTATGACAGAGTGCACTCGACTGTCTTGAGGTGCACCAAACGGTGAGAAATATCAGATATTTCTATGTATACATACATAAGAGGTTAAAGTTAATTCATTTAGCCATCATTAGAAAGAAGGCGGTTTGTTTTTAGCGCGGCTGTTTAAGTTATACCTCAAGCGTTTGTTTACCGAACTAATGATTCGTGGGTGTTTTTTTCTATAAAATTTCATTTGTTTCTCATTTGTTTTCTATTCACTGTTAATATTTCAAATTTGGCCACTCCTTGTTAAAAAAATCAGTTGATACAATATGTTATTGCAGGAGAATGGAGGCGCTATTTGTATGTCAGTAATATAACAGACCCCTAGTCAGGGTCTAGTATCAGTGTTTACATTTTGTTATGCTTGATGGAAAACCGTGATAAAGGGCAACACAGTAGAGGAAATTAAAAGCAAAGATGGGGCATGAAATGGGCACAACCCTTAGGGGTTTTTCTTTTGAGAAAAAAAAAACTGAAACCGTGAATATGATTGGGCTGAGATCACTTTTGCCAACAGGATACAGGCCTCTTCCGTTTTCTTGTTTTGTTTCTGCGTGTGTGTGCATTTGTTTGCCTGAAGGTCTGCTTGTGCTCTTTATTAATATTAGATTATTTCCATGCCAACTGAAAAGACATCAGATGATATCCGTACCCTGTTGACCTAAGTAGTCACAAGATTTAGTACAAATGCCTTTGGGAGATTTTAATTCTTAAATAGTTTAATTAATTTACAATGATTTGTCTGAACAGTATGTTGAGGGGTATGGTTTAAAGATATTAATATTTTACGCACAGTGTTTTCCACACTGCATTTACCATTGACTGTTTTTATTTCTCAGGCTGTGACGTCACTCAAGGTCATCAGCAGGGGCGCAGTGGATAAGTGCGGTTCTGACACAGAGGAATGAGTCATGACCACTGTGGTGATTGTAGATAGTGGAGGGAATATATTGGAGTATGTCGCTGGAGATGAGGAAGCTCAGCAGGTGAAGTCCGCATTTGTACAAAATACACCCTCTCATATTAGAATTGCAGCTTAACTAAAATCTACATTAAAAACATTTTAAGGAAACTCAAAGTGTTTGTTTTTTCCCAGGAGTATTGTCCTGATGGGGTGGAGGCTGACGGAGAGAAGGCCTGCCCTGCAGTGATAGTGGAACAGGTGAATAGTGCTGATGTGGAGCAGTGTTATGCTGCTCAGGTGTTAGTCTATGATGATCAGAATACCTACCTGGTGCAGGATGTGGCTGAGGAACAGGTTGTGGAGACTGAGTTGCAAGAGATGGCAGCAGGTAAGCAGTAATTCTCACAATTGTTAGAGGGCTGTATTTCCATGCAAGGAAAATGCTGTATTATGCGTTTGCTTGAAAGAGCAATCAGTGAGGTAGTCAAGTTGTAGCACTTGTTTTTGTGTGTGTAACTAAACAATAAACCTAATTCTGAAAACCCAGAAAAACATGACTGCATTGACTTGTTTGAATTACCATGTTTACCACTAAACATGATGGTGATTTTAGAGTCTTTTCCAAATATGCCCTGTATTTTTTTTAGAGGGCTTAATTTTCTTTTAAGAGCAGGAACAGCTAAACAGGGACATCTTGTGGCGTTTTTGTGGAAGTTATAAAAGATACACATTAGAAAAACAAAGCTTCTTGACAGTATAATTTGTGTAGGATTAGTACACTTGAAACACATGGAAAAGGGTAAATAGGTTATGCAAACTTTAATCTGGATGGAAACTATGGTTTTGTATTATTTTTGTTCTGTATTTTGTTTGTATTATTTTGTTTTGTTTTCTGTGCTCAAACATGCTAAATACAACATTGACTGCTCAGAATTCTATTTACCTTTTAAAAACGCAGAAGGGAAGCTTATGTATAGTTGCATTGTGGTCTTTGTAACTGAAGACTGAGAGATATTGGTAATTATTTGTATAATTTTAGAGATTATTGATCGTTTTTATACAGCATGCAGCTGGTATGACTACTCGGTTTCACAATGTTATCTAAACACCAGTTCGATTTACTCAAAGATAGTAAACAATAAAATATACATCACTCATCACATAAGTGTGGCACGTGATTTGAGGTAACGAGCACTGGGCTCCTGTTGAAGTGAAGGATGCAAAAGAAGCGTTTGACAACCAGGAAGTGAAGAGCAGCTGTCGTCAACCCGTGCGCCAAGTTTAAGTAATACTAAATGATTTCTTGCTCTTTTGTTTTAGCGACACTTTATTCTGTGTTCTTAGAGTAATGTGTGCCATCGGTGTTGTGTATATTCAAAATTGTTCGTTTACAGTCAGTTGGAGTTATGATTTGTTCTTAGCGGATTGATGCTGATTGTCGGAACCAGGAAGTGTGTTTGTTTTCTTTTTGCGTCTTAGCCACGCTGTCTGTTAAAGTGTTTATAACAGGGTTTGCGGTAGAGCTTGAGGGTTAAAATGTTTTGTAGCCGCCGTTTAATTTTTGTTGGCTTTGATTGTTTAAATCAGCTAACGGTTCTGTTTTTTACTGATGTCTTTTCACGAAGACAACAATTAACAAATTTGTTGCGGTATATTTTGAAGGATAACGGGTGCGGGTTTGCTTTTTTTTACATGAAAAGCGTCATGTAAGAAATCTGCATTGGTTAGCTTTTGGTTTTATGAGACTAAGTCGAGATTGATGCGAAAAGCGTTGTAAACGTTTGGTTTTATAAACAAGTAACGTTTCGATTTATTGTATTTGATGCAGAGAACTATTCAAGCACTTTCGCTGGGTGCAGTATATCAAATATATTATTAAAAATACGCTTTTCGTTTTCGAAGTTTAGGGCGGAAGTATACTTATAGGCGTTATAGGTCGTTGAGTGACAGGACGCCTGGCCAATGAGCGCTTAGAATTGTTTTGTAAGATGCAGTGTAGCCAATGAACATCGAAATAGAAATATTTTTTTTCCTTTACCGCCAATTTATTACTTTATGTACTGGAAAATATTTATGAACACAGAATGCTCTTTTAATCAAAAGCAAGCTCAATTTTGATCTTCTTGAATCATTTTTTGGTCCTGTAACATCTGTTTTTACATTATAGTCTTAATAAACAGATAGCAAGAGGATTTTTGTTTTAGAACAGAGTATTTAAATGATTGTATGTATGCAATTTGTTTGCTTGTTTTTATTGTGCGAGGAAAAAAAAACAACTTTTTTCCCTCTCTCTCTCTTAGTGGAGGTCTCTGTGCATGATAAAACTATTGAAGCAGCTGAAGCTCTGCTGCACATGGATTCACCGGCCAGCTTGCAGGGCGATCGCAGCACAGGTGAGATTTACATACATACATGCACTGCATGCTGTAATACAGGCTAACCTAACCTAACAAATTACTACTACTTACTCAGTATATCACATTTGTGTGAAGAGTAAAAATAACAATAGATCTCAATCTCTGCAGAGGAGCTTTTATCTGAGGTGGAGGTGGAAGTGAGAACAGAGGATATGGGATATATATATATTAGTACATTGCATTTACTTAAGTGTGCTTTCAGCTCAACTCCTTAATTACATTACCTAAGTGCAAAAGTCAACTTAGCATAGTTGAAAACTGTGTAATTTTTTGGAAGAGATTCATTTGTTTTGCTGTGGTCTTCCCCAGCAGGACGAAAACCCAGAGCTCCACGGAGTTTCTGTGATGGTTCTCTGGATATGGTCTATAAGAGGAAATCAAAAGACAGCAAGGGTGAGCATTTCTGTTTGTTTATTTGTGCAAGAGATTTTTTTTTTCTGGTGCCACAACTTCTAAGTCTGACTCTAACAGGCTCAACTACTTACCTGTGGGAGTTCCTATTGGACCTTCTGCAGGACAAGGAAACCTGTCCAAAGTACATTAAGTGGACTCAGAAAGAGAAGGGCATATTCAAGCTTGTGGACTCCAAAGCGGTGTCTAAATTATGGGGCAGACATAAGAATAAACCTGACATGAACTATGAGACAATGGGGAGAGCACTAAAACAACTTTTTTCCCTCTCTCTCTCTTAGTGGAGGTCTCTGTGCATGATAAAACTATTGAAGCAGCTGAAGCTCTGCTGCACATGGATTCACCGGCCAGCTTGCAGGGCGATCGCAGCACAGGTGAGATTTACATCTACACATGCACTGCATGCTGTAATACAGGCTAACCTAACCTAACAAATTACTACTACTTACTCAGTATATCACATTTGTGTGAAGAGTAAAAATAACAATAGATCTCAATCTCTGCAGAGGAGCTTTTTTCTGAGGTGGAGGTTGAAGTGAGAACAGAGGATATGGGACCCGTTGCCAAGGATATTGTTGTCCTGCAGGAGACCGATTTACTGAAGAAGAAAAAAAGAGGTGAACCACGCTTTACCCAATACCATGAACTACAGATATGTTTGGAAATAAATGCATGATTATTGCTTCACATATACTAATATAT